GTGCAGGGACAGAGACTGCTTATAGGGCCAAGGGTCTAAGAACAGAGATCGCCTTCTCTTCTTCTCTGAAGATGGAGGGCATCCTCACACCCTCCTCAGCTCTCTCTGTCCATTCCTGAACTGGTAGTTGCTGAAGGAGGTCTCTTGGCTCACCAGTGCATCCCCCTAAAATGCAGTCCCTCTTGAAAGAAGGAGTGGTTCAGTCTATGGTAAACAAGAAGAGTCAAGCCAAAAGCCACTCCATCATCTCCCCCCAACCTTCTTCTCTGAACATCTGAGGTCCCAGGCTGTCTCTCTTTCCTTCAAATTGAGGAGGAGTAATATTTCATAAAGCCTTAATTTCACAGGAAAGGGTTAAAATTCCCAGACTCCCCGGATGGCTGAAATCTGGCCCAGGACTCCGTCTTCCATCTCCCACGCTGGGCATCTTCCCCCCCCCCTCCTCCTTCTCCTCTGCCGGCAAACTTCCAGGTGTCTGCTGGCTCTCTATCTCTTGTCCCTCTAGCTTGGGGGGGGGGGGGGGAGGGGGGAACAAAGACATCCCAGATGTTCTCCACCCTTCCGTCCGCAGGAGCTGGCCCAGCTCGGTTCCGATCCTTCACCCCTTGGCCTACCTCTGCAGGCCACATGGGTCCCCTCCCCCACCCAGCCCGGGGGCTGGGCGGGGGAGGTCTGTACCTTGCGATGACCAGAACCAGAGAGAGCCAATTCTCCTGGGAATTCCGCTTTTAGCCCCTCTGTGTTCTCAGAGGTGTGTCTACCTTCAATTGGTCACCCCAAGTGTCAGTATCCAAACCTGACCCCTGACTAGGATTGACCTCTTCCTTCCAAAAAAAATTATTTTCCCGTGTCAAACCACGACACCTGGGATCATTCGGAGGCAATCACAGGTTCTCTGCTGCAGCCCTATCAGCCATCTTCCTCCAGTTGTCCTTAAAAACTTTAAATGGCACAGGTTGGAACAATATTTGAGCTATCTGTTTAATATCAAATGGAGCAAGCAGGTCAGTGTTTTAACACTCAGATAATTTGCATAACTTGTGAAGAACCAAGCCCATATTTTTCTACTTGACCTTGCAAATCTTGCACAACTCGTGTGACACACGAGTGTTGCACCCCCCACCCCTTCAATGGCCAAACCTATGGAAGCCAAAGGCCACGTAGGAGGCCACGCAGAGAAGGAGATGACTGTCACACCGTGCTTGTCGGCTTGTCCTGTATTTGGGACAGCTTTATACACGGGAAAGGCTTGGACTCCCCTTGTGACGGAACATTGCCTCCCTGATCCACCTGTGTCCCCTCCTCAGATGCTGGATTAACTAACTACTTGACTGTCCCCTGTGGCCCCTTCCTCTTCATTTTTCACATTGATGAGTCCACCCCCGGGCATTCCCACCTTCTCTAACAGGTCTCAATCCCCATTCTCCAGAGCCTGCAATTTTACCAATTCCCAAAACCGGCAAGGGTTCGTCGGTTGCATGGTCACCCAACAAGGGGGCAATGTCCAGTGATGACTCTGGTATGATGTCGCTGCTTGTCGGTGCTGGCATTCCGCCACCAGGCCACGCCCCCGGTGGGGGGCAGGTTGCTGATCTTTGTCGCTGTCACTGTCCCTGTCCTGGGATGGGGGTGGGTGGGACAGCCTGCAGGAGGTGGAGGATGGTGGGCTGGCTAGAGGCACCAAAGCGGTGGAGCCGGCTGCAAGCCCTGAGGCAGGGAAGTCAGCAGCAGCCGGTGAGGCGGGGGACCCGGCCATGGCAGGCGGTGCGGGCTGTGGCGGTTAAGCTGCAAGAGGCATGATGCCCGCTGCTCTGCATGCAGCAGAGGGAGGAGGAGTAGGCACAGGTAGTTGTGCCATTTCCGCAGGTGAAAGCGGAGGGGCAGAAGAGACCACGTCTCCAGTCGCATCATTTGTCGACAGTGAAGGTGCTGGAAGGTGCTGCCACTGCCGCTTGTGCTTGCACCGCAAAGAAGGAGGGGACTGGTGGGGGGAACAAAGTCAGCAGGAACAAAGGCGCACCGGCGAGCGCTGGCAATCCGGGGCGGGGGGGGGGGGTGGCACATACACTTGCACATACTCCGTAGATGGGAATGGAGGAGCCGAAGGGGCGGTCATTCCAGCCACGTCAGTCGCCAGTGGTGGAGGTGGTTGCACCACCTCCTGCAGTGCAGGGGAAGAAGGAACCGGCGGCAGGGTCAGGGAAGCTGGCGGGACGTACAAGGGCTGTCTCCTGGCCAGCTGTGGTGCAGAGAGGGGAGGGGCCGGTGGGTGGAGCAAAGCTGCTTGTAGAGAAGGGAAAGCTGGTGCCGGTGGGCGGGGCAAAGCTGGCTGTGACAAGGACATGCTGCTTACCGCTTGCAGAGCAGAGAAAGCTGGTGCTCCCGGGGGGGCGAAACCAATTGCGGCAAGGGCCTTCCATGATGTCTCGCAGTGCAGGGGGAACCAGAATCATTGGCTGTGGCACTGGGGGAGGCGAAGGTGGTACAAATAGAGGGGAGCACTCTGCTAGGTCCAATCAGGACATGGCTACCGAAGTCATCGGGGGCGGCATCGCAGGAGAAGGATATTTTGGCGGAACACAGTCCCTGGGCGAGGGATATATTCTGCAGGGAATCCCCATGTCTCTCGAGGGTCCAGGTGGAGCCAAGAAAGAACCGGCAGCCCCCTGCCTGGCTCCCTCTCCCTCCAGGGTGTGTGTGTCCATGGAGAGAGCATCTTCACTTTCCGAGTCCCCCATCTGCATTTCACTTTCCCTTGGGGGTCCAACCTTGCAAAGCTCTCGAAAGGACTCCCCAGGTAACTGCTAACTGAGGACTGGTCTTATCTCCACTGATGACCTCATCCCACAGGCAGTTGCCTAGTAATGGCCAAGTCTCTGTATTAAATGTGGTGTTTGCGTCTACTGAAAAGTCATGGGACCTTGCCCAGGCAAGTAAGGCACGCAGGGAATGATCTGACACAGGAACCGCTTTACATGGCAAAGCATCCTTCCATGCAGAAAGAACTAATCTCTCTTCCGTAGAAAGTTGGTTCCCCCATATTGAAAGAAACCCTTCCCAGCAGCCCGCACGCAGCAGTAGTCTACCCCGGGATGTAAACACTTTAGCTATGCTGGGAAAAGCCATTCCACCCTAGCTCTTTGGCATTGAGCTGCTACCCGTAGTCACGAAAAGACCAGCCATCTCAAGGAGGCATGGGGAAAAATCACTGTTACCACTCCTAAATGGAGGACAGAGGGCGTCCAGTCCATCCTGCGAGGACCAGCGGAGCCACCGCAGCGTCTCCCGGTGGGGTCGATCCAAAGCATCCCATTCATCCTGCAGTTTCTGGAGGGGTAACCTGTAAGGAGAGCAGGTGTCCTGGATGGTCGGGATGGATGGAGACGAGAGATCTCTGAAGTCAGGTCTTAGGATATACGGTTTATTGCAAAGGGCATGGGTGTGGGGGCCCTGCTTGGAGCTGCCAGCTGCAGCTCAGAGCAGGCCCCAAGGAGTGGGGGCAGGGAGAGATAGCGAGAGAGAGAGGTAGAGGGGGCAGGAGAGGATGCCAAGAGAGGGTTCCAAGATGGCCTCTGGTCCCTCAGGTACACCTTATCAGGGGGCTTCAGAGTGGGCATGGAATAAGACTTGGGCCAATGGGATTACAGATACCTGATGCTTCAGGGGAAGGTTACAGATGTGGGATAGACTATACATTTTTGAGGGATGAGACAAAACATTCTATTTGACCCTTGGATCTGTCTGTAGGTTAAAAGGGGGATTGCCTTCCACTGGCTACACCACTATTCTCTAGTTGCTCAGTAACCAAGGTCCGATATCTCAAAGCTCGTTCTCATCTCAGTCTTGCCCACAGTCTCTGTATTTTCCAAATCCCTTGCCAGGCAATCATATTTACAAGGCTTTCCCATTTCATCTTCCCCAACAGTAACCAGATGTTGACGTTTAGTTAGGAATGACAAGGAAAAGACGACACAGACTCCAATGCTTCTTAGAAGGCATGAAGCGAGGTTTATTAGAAACTTCACATATTTATAGATAGGATTGTTCACCCAGAACCTGATTGGTCCTTAAACAACACCCCTCACACCATTGGTTAATTAGGAACAACACCTTCTTGTAAATACCTTTCCATAAACATCATGTACAAACATTCCACATATTCACAAACACCAGGTGCAGAGATTAAGATAAGAATTGTTTTAATTATTTCTCTGAGCTTTCTTACAATTTCCCCAGGGTGATGCCTGAGAAAGTTATCTGTTTCTCTCTGACTAAACTGTCAGCATCTACAACCTTGCACTTGGCCTTGTTGAACTTCATGAGGTTTGCACAGACCCACCTCTCAAGCCTGTCCAGGTCCCTCTGGATGCCATTCCTTCCCTCCAGCATGTTGACTGCACCACACAGCTCGGTGTCATTGGCAAACTTGCTGAAGATGCACTCAATCCCACTGTCCATGTCACCGACACAGATGGTAAATAGTGCTAGTCCCAACACTAATCCCTGAGTACACCACTTTTCACTGGTCTTCACTTGGACATCGAGCTGTTGACTGCAACTCTTTGAGTGTGACCATCCAGCCAATTCCTTATCCACTGAGTGGTCCACCCATCAAATCCTAATGTTTCTAGTTTAGAGCCCAGGATGTCATGTGGGACACTGTCAAATGCTTTGCACAAGTCATCTCAGGTAGTGCTTCTGGTAGGAGCAGAAACAAAACTGGTCTAGTGGAAAGTGTCCCTGCCTGTGGACTAGAGGATTTTTGAAGGTCCCTTCCAACCCAAACAATTATGTGATTCTAAGATATAGTCCTGTTCTAGCTTATATTGAGAGATTTTAATTTGTTTGTTTGGTTCTCTTTCAGTATCCTGTGGAACACCCAGACAAATTCCTCAAATTTGGCATGACCCCATCAAAAGGGGTTCTGTTCTATGGGCCACCTGGTTGTGGTAAGACACTCCTGGCCAAAGCCATTGCTAATGAATGCCAGGCAAACTTCATTTCCATCAAGGGGCCGGAATTGCTCACCATGTGGTTTGGTGAGTCTGAAGCCAACGTACGTGAGATCTTTGACAAAGTAAGTATTTCTTCTACCCCTTGTGCTCTTGTGCTATGTTTGTGCTGAGGTACTCCCAAACCCTCTACTGCACCCATCTTACTGGCCTGGTTTTGTTTTCCTTGTTTGCACTGAGAGCAGAAGCTGCTTTTTTGATGTTAGGGTATTGTCTTGGTTTGAAAGACAAGTGTTTTCTAAGGAAGGCAGTAGCTTCTCTTGGAATGGAAAATGCAAACTCCTTTCTTCCAAATTATTATAATTTTGAAATTAAGGAGCTCTCAGGCAAAGATATGAGAATAGGAGTAACAGTTTTTTACTAGTATGTATAAATAAAAAAAACCCTACAATATATTAGGAAAATTAAAATAAAATGCAGTAGTACAAAAAACACTGTCAGAGTCAGAATACAACCTAACACCTTGTTGGTCAGGGTGTTGGTAGAAGTCTGATTAAGTGGCGGCTGCAGTCCTCCTGGAGTGACAGATGTGGTTCTGTTGAAGCAGTGATCCTGTACAAGGTTGTAGGTTTCCTCTGAAGGTCCAGTGGTGATGTAGAAGGGTCTGGTCTTCTGCGAATGTAGTTGAAAAAGGCTGCCTGTGGTGTTCCAAATCTCTGATTATATCCAGGTAGGAATGCTTGGCTCCTCCCCTTGGGTGGAGCATCTGACAATGGGATGGTGTAATTTTATCAGTCATGCAGTGAGACTCAATTAACAGAAGATATCCCCCTGGAGGGAGGATTGTGGAAGAGATAAAGAACACTGCCCCACCTGGTTTTAACAGATAGTAATAGAATACATACTTTTGGTTACACCTTGCATTGCAACTTAAGACAGGTATGAATTCTCTTTGGCAATATAGCTATTTAGATGGTTTTCTCCTACTGGAATTTGTATCTGTTGTTACAGGATTATAAATGCCCCAGTGTCTTAGCAGTGAGGCTAGCAGTAGGATGGCATAGATATTCTCTGCATCCCTGAAAACTTATTTCAACACCTCATTAGCCATCACATTCTACGGATTTTTAAAGGATGTTATGGGTTCTTATTTTTCTACAGTTGGACTAAATGATCATTGTAGGCCACTTCAAACTGAAATTATTCTATTCCTATCTATTCTATTCTATTCTATTCTATTCTATTCTATTATATTCTATTCTATTCTATTCTATTCTATTCTATTCTTGTCCTGCAATATATATGTCTTGCAAAGGAGCCCACATCCACTGCCCAGTTTGTCTGTAGGTAGTGTGACCTCCTGTCCCAGGAGGTTATCTGCATGGATTATCTTGGGAATCCTCACTCCTGTGGTCATGGAAGGTGCTGAAAGAGCAAAGTTGGAAAGAGAGTGAGAGAGAAAAATTTAGGTTGAGAGGGAACCTCAGAGGCTTTCTGGTTCAGCTGTTTGTCCAGAGCAGGGAGGTAGCTTGGTAATTCAATCAGATTGCTCAGGGCTGTCTTGGTTTGAAAGACAGGTGTCCGCTAAGGAAGGTGGGAACCTCCCCTGGGATGGAAAATATGACCCCCTGCCCTCCAAATTACTATAACTTTGAAGTTAAGGGGCTCTCAGGCAAAGATATGGGAAAAAAAAAACCCAGTTCTTTACTAATATGTATATGCATAACAAGGCAAACAAACAAAACCAGAAAACCCAGTAACAGCCTTCTGTCAGCTGTCAAGCACTTTCCCCTTTGGTGTAGTTACGGTCACGGCCGGCAGGGGCACTGTTGACTCCTGGCTGGGAAGGGCAGGTGCAATGATTCACTCGCGGCTGCAGGAGGTGCTGTGGCATGACCTCAGCTGTCTCTCACCTGGGTAATGGCAGGCATAGCCAGCAGAAGAGATGGAAAAGGGGCTTCCTTTACAAACTCACGCAGGGGCAGTTAGTCCCAGTGCCCCTCCGGATAGCAAAATGAGCTGTAGCAGGAACCTCGGAAGCAGCAAGCTGGAATGGCAGGGACGAGTAGACCTGGGGTAGCAAACAGAATGTATCAGAAACTCCTCAGCTGTAGCAGGAGCCACGGGGTGTCCTGGTAGGCACAGTGCTGGGTTGCAGTGTAGCGAAAACCCCAGAGCAGTGGCAGAAAAAGGTGGGGCTGGGCAGCAGGAGATTTTGGCCTGGGGGTGAGGGGCTGGGCTCAACTCCTCTCCCTCTCTCTTGTGCTTGAGATCAGAGGGAACAGTTGAGCTGCTGCAATCGCTGCCACTGCAGAGTCCAGCCCATTACTGTTCTCTCCTACTGCAAGTGAGGCTTTTGCTTGTACAAGCGGCCATAGCACTGAGACCTTATTAACACCCTATATCTCTCTGGAAAGGACCCTCACCATCTATTCAGGTGCCTCAGGGGAAAATCCAGGACCCTGAGCCCCTCCCCCTCCAAGGGAGCCTCCCTTAATTACTGTCTATGCACAAGAGGAGGTGGGTGACCCTGTTGGGTCTTGTCTGGCCTCTGGAGGTGGCACTGGTCTTTTTACTCTGGGGATATGGATCCAGCCTTTTTCTTGGGTTCGCACCACAGTGTGTGTGGTGAGTAACACCTGGAAAGGTCCTTCGAATTTGGGGGTTAGTGGAGTGGTGGTGTTCTAGGATTTTATTAACACCCAATCCCCGGGACTGATGTTGCAGGCATTGGTATTCAGAGGAGAGGTTTGGGGAAGATACCCCTTCTTCTGAGGCCTTCTAGGGATTTTCCTATGATTTTAAATATTTTTAAGTTGCTGCCTCCCCTTTTAAATAATCTGCAGTACTGAAAGGAGTGGTTAGAAAAGGGAGTCCAAACATCATTTTATAAGGAGAAACCCCTATGTCGGACCGAGGTCTTTTTCTGATGCGCAAGAGAGCAAGAGGTAAACACTTGAGCCAGTTCATTTTTGTCTCTTAAATTAATTTGGTTATTACATTTTTAAGAGTTCTAGTCATCCTTTTTACCCTTCCCGAGCTTTGAGGATGCCATGGGGTGTGCAATCTCTACCTTATCCCCAGGGCTTTTGTTACTTGATGCAAAGTTTGAGCAACAAAATGTGGACCTCAGTCGAGTCAATGTTATTGACTAGCCTGTATCGAGGTGTATTTTCTAAGATTATTCTTGCAACTTCTTGCGCAGTTTCCTTTTTGGTTGGGAAAGCCTCCACCCAGTGAGTGAGATGATCTATGATCACTAGTAAATGTTTGTACCTCTGCACAGAGGGCATTTCAGTGAAATCTACTTGTATGTTCTGGAAAAGTCTTAAAGCAAGTTTTCCTCCCCCATGTGCTGTTTTTCTTATTACCTTTTGGTCGGTTTTCAGGCAAATTGTACGCCCTCATGTGACTGCCTTTTCTAGGTTATACACTCTAATACATAAATTCTCCTGTAAAAAGTGGTCCCACAAACCTTGGATTCCCCAGTGGGACAATTCATGACTTGAACTACTATCTTTTTATCTTGTGGGATGATCCTTACCCCTAATTGGACTTACAAGTCTCTTCCTAAGAGATTACTTCTTAAATTTGGCAGATAAAGTCTGCCAAAAATTGTCTAGAATTCCCCTTGATTTTTATATTTTGACTATAGATGCTTTAAATGGCCTTCCCTTCACCCCTAAAACCTCACAGATCTTCCTAATGGTGACTCTTACTGGTAACTTGTGCTGGACTTATCTGCCCCTGTGTTAACTAAGAACTCACAATTTTCATAGTGGGGACTTACTTTAAAGTTTACCAAGGGCTCTTCTTGATGGTTTATTGGATCTCTTAGCTTATAGAACCCCTGTCACCCCTAGTCATCTCCCCTTGAAATCTCTTCTAAGACTTCTTGTTCTTTATGCATTGCTTCATCAAACTGAAACTTAAGACACATCTCACTACAGTAATAGCACCTCCTGTTGCTTTGTGAAGCTTCAGGTTTCCTAAACTCATTAAAGTTCTTATTTGTCTCATATGATGGTGCTGGTTGGTCTCTATTTTTTTGGTAATAGCCCTGGTCTATTCCAACTTGACTTAGACGGCAGTGCTGGTGACCTGCCTGCTCTTATACTTTCTCGAGCAACTGCAACCATAAGTCTAGCTTTAATTTTGGCTTTTTCTTCTTCTTTCTTTAAATATAATCTTAGGGCTTCTAGGTGTTGGTTTAGCTGATTATACATCTACTGATCTTGGGTTCCATACCATGGCCACTCTCCCTGTAATTTTAACTTTGGCCATACTTTTGTACTCTTGTCTAGACCCTTTGTGGTCTCCCAAGAATCCCATTGATCTAACAATTGCCCTAAGGGTCTGTTAGGGGGAATTCTCTTTGCTTTTTCTTCTGAAGGATCTGCTCCTTTGCTGTAACCTCTTCCCATTTTCAGGCCTCAAAAAGAAAAGAAAAAATATAGACCTTAAATTATGTCTCTCTAAAATGGAATATACAGATATGCAACTAAAGTTCATCTGGCTCCTTCCCACAACTTAGTATTTTGAATCTCTTGACTGAACTTAATCTCTTTTAGCTAAACTTTTACTCTTGGTACTATTTTCTGGACACTTTACATTGTCTCTTGGCCAGGATAACCACTAATCACACTCACATCTATTGTCTTCTGTTCTCTTGTCTTTGGCCTAAGTTTTTTGGACTTCTTGCTGGACTTTCTAGGCTTGGACCCCTGCTAAGTCTAGCCCTAATTTTTATTTGGCTTTTGCCCAACCTTCTTACTAGGCTTAGGAAGCTTGGTCTTCCTGCCGAGGTAAGGTCGAACGTCCTGCCGAGCCTTACACTCGAACTCTGGCCAAGTCCCCTCGCCTAATTCTCCTACTAGGCTTAGCCTGCTTGCCTTCCTAGCCGTTTCTTTACTTGCTTACTTACTCTGCCTTCCAGGACATGCCCCCTGCCTGCCAGGGCATGCCCGCTGCCTTCCAGGACGTGCCCTCTGCCTGCCAGAACATTCCACTGCCTGCCAGAACATGCCCCCTGGCTGCCAGGACATGTCCCCTTCCTGTTAAGACATGTCCCCTGCCTGCCAGGACATGCCCCCTGCCTGCCAGGGCATGCCCGCTGCCTTCCAGGACATGCCCTCTGCCTGCCAGAACATTCCACTGCCTGCCGGAACATGCCCCCTGGCTGCCAGGACATGTCCCCTGCCTGTTAAGACATGTCCACTGCCTGTTAGGACATGCCCCCTGCCTGCCAGGGACATCCCATCTGCCCTGCTGTGGACATTCCCCTTGCCCTGATTGCCAGGGACTTACTTTATCCCTAGAGAACCTCTACATGCCCAGAGGCAGGCCTTTACCTCTTAGGAGAGGCCTCAGTCACTCCTCTGTTCTATGGTACTAGTGGGTCCCTTTTACTTTGGGGGTCTGAGCTGCCGGCCCCCGTCTCACTCACTCACTTGTTTCCCCGTTTTTCTCACTAATCCGTCGTACCTCTGTGACGCTCCTTCGCGTGGCTCACCTCTGTGACGCTCCTTCGCGTGGCTCATCTGTGTTGCTCGTCTCACGCTGATCCTAGGGTCCGGTAGCCAGCATATCCCAAGGGTCCCTCGAAGCAGGTGGTCGAGCTGTCCAGGGATCCTCTTCGGGTGTGGCTATCCCGGATGAGCCCCCAAATAGTAATGAACAGGGTCTATGCCTTTATTGATGTTTAGCTCTTTATTAAAAAGTCAGCTTGGCAGGGAGCTCGACATGGAGCTCGCTCCCGCTGTTGTAGCTTTCTCCTCGTAGCCGAAGGGGGAGAAGGCGTTCAGAGTGTGTCCCTGGAGTCTCCGTGGCACACTGGTAGCTGGAGGTGAAGAGGTGTGCAGTCTGTATCTGAAGTCTCTCTCCTTTCCTCCTGGCACACTGATAGCCTCAGGGTGAGGGGATGTGCAGAGCCTGCTGCCGAAGTCCAGCAGCAGCTACCCCTCTCCTTCCCTCCTGGTAACACCAGGATGAGTTGTTCTTTTGTGCCTGCTTCCCACAGCCCAGTCCAGTCTGGTCCTCTCCAGGTTATGGTGACAGGTCAAACACAGACTAGGGATGTGGTTCCCTTTTCCCCAACCAGCACACCCATCCAGCCCCCTCCACTGTGCCCAGCCTTCCATTTAGGGGTGTTTTCATCCCTAAAATCCCCTCCCATGATTCCACTGGTCTCCCTATTTTGCATCCCAGTCCTAGAATGGTAGTGAGGGTGGGGGCGGGGTAGGTGATTCCCAGAAGCAATTAGCTAATTAACATTTCAATGTCAGTACTTAGTTTGAGCCAAGTGTCCCAGCCAGGCTGTTTTGTTCATAACAAGTTTACCACTTCTAAAAAAGAATCTTTTTTCAGTTCATTTAAGGTTAGGAGTCTCTTCTGCCAAGCCACAAGAAACAGTTTCCTTGTGGTTTTAAGTTCACAGTTAAACAGTCTGCGCGTTAAAAACTTGTTTGCTTCGTGAAAGTCCCTCCCACTGACTTACAGTTTTCCCCACAACTGCTCTCGAGGGCCATTTTGGATACTGGGGTATAATTTTAAGGATGAGCTGTTCTATTATAGAAGCAAAAGTTCTCTTCTTCTGTCTCTGGAAGTAAAAATTTTGTTCTTCTATTTCTGAAAGCAAAGGTTTTCTTCTATCTCTGAAAGAAAATTCTCTATTTAAGTCAGATCACAGCTTCTTTCAACATCTATATTTTCTAGTTCTCTTCTGAGCTGTGGATGAATGCTGCTTCCCCCCCCCCCCATGTAATTTATTAATTACAGGGAAATAGTCTGCTGTATTACTGTATTATATTCTCACCTTGGCTTGCCAAAGGTTTTCAGCTCCAAAACCGGAACATCTCCTCTCCTTTCTTCCGGGCTTCGGCCCCTCATTCTTCACTGACCTTGGTGTCGCCCTGTTTTTTTCTTCAGGTGCCTTCACCTTTCCTTTTCTCTCACTCAGAAGAAGATTGGCATCTGTAGGTTTTATCTCTTCTCAAGTAGCGTTTTACAGCATGGAAAGGGTTAATCTCATCCAGGCCCTGCATCACGGAATTGCACGTTCTGCTTCTGGTCATGTGATCGTCCGCAGCGCTGCACAATCCTCACCGGCCGCTGTTTTTCTGTCCTTTTGTCTGCAGTGAGGCAGATTAGAAGCAGACAGGCACGCAAAGTCGCTCGCTGGCTGGCCTAGGGTGGCGGCGGCCGCTGTGGCCGTATGGCTGTTTTCTGGCCCTGGCCGCTCCCAGTTCCAGCCATAGGGCCACTTCCTACACAGACTGCAGAGCTGCTCACTGGTCTCAGCCGCACGGTGCCCTGTTGGCACCAGGACAGCCCCCAGCAGGATGGCTCGGCAGTTTGCATCTGGAATGGGGCCGGCCAGGCCTGGAGCCCAGCAGAGCCGGCCTGGCCTGATGACTGTGGGTGGAGCACAGCAGCAGCAGGATTTCAGCAGCGGAGCCATGGGCTGGCCTGGCATCGGCTTCCCCTCCTGCCGCCTGGCAGCCAGACCACTCGAGTCCGGCCTGGCCTTACCAGGAAGGGTAGGGGGGTAGGGCCTCCACTCTTTTGCAGAAAGCAGGAAATAAGAGAGAACTTTTCGCCGTTTCTCCTTTCTTAAATATGGTATTCATAGAGGCAGTTCTAGCTTCTTTAACTGGCTAATTGGTGTATTAGTTATAAAAGCCAGCCAGAGACTGGATTTGCCAGGCATGGAGGAAGCTGTAATGTTCTTTACAGAGAGAATTACTTCTCTACCTGATGGTTCTTTCCCTTAACTAAAACCAAGCTATTTCAAACCTCACCACTGATATGAAAGGAATCTCTTGGAAGAAAGTGAAAAAAACTGTTTATTTAGCACACACACACAGAGTGCACACAGGCACGGGAAAAAAAAGAATAATATTAAATATTAAAACCTTCTCGCTACGGAGAAACCTGGTGGATTCAGTTCTTTCTGTAGGTGTGGCTCGGCTCCTCCCAAAGTCCAGAGCCAGAATGCAGCATCCTGGGGCCTCCCCCGCCAGCTCCCGGTGATGGTCTGTTCTTGGATGTGAAAAACGCCAATCACTTGGTTTTTAAAATGTTAAAAGTTTAATAATAATAAAATGGTTATAAAAATAATAATACAATTAGAGTAATAAAGTTTAGAGTTAGGGCAATTACAAGACAATAAAAAGCAAAGAATTATGGACGTCTGGATGCTCTCAGACACTAAGTCACGAAAAGCATGACTTGTGAAGAAAGGAATCATCCTTAAACCAATACACTTGTTGCATATTCATACATCCTTCATGGTTATGCATACATTCCATTCTAAACAAGAAACTCTGTTGTATGTCAACTGTTTCCTTGAATCCCCTGGCATCTTTGAGTCTGAGCAAGGCCTGAAGAAATTACCTTCTTCTGATAAGAAGCCATAAATTCCTCTCCTTTGGAAGATTTAGGTGTTCTTCAAAGCGAGTATCTCATTCCTAAAAAAAAAACTTCCCCCACATACATAGTCTCTATTTTAACATTATGTTGTAACCTAAACCTATATTTAACACACTACGTAAGAGAATTAATACAGCATAACTTTCTAACATTACACATATAATATTCATTGTAACATTTGCGAAAAGCCAATCATAAAATATGCATTTTCCACATTGGACCAGAGCAAAGTTGAACAGTTCCAGAATGTTATAGATGAGTAATGTAATGGTTGTCTCTCACAATTAAGAGATAGCTATTATGTGTATGTTAAGATGTATAGTGATGTTATTGTAATATGTCCTTCCATAGTCCTCTTTCCTCTCCCCCTTGTAATAGCCTTAGTAGTCAAGGCATTTGGAGAGGGCTGGCTTATTACTAGGAGGCGTGACATAGCAACACGTGACCTCCAATCAAGACAAAACTTTGGTATAAATGGCAGAGCATCCATTTTGTAGATGAGCATGTGGCTGCTAGTCACGAAGACTCCCAGCGCTGCAATTCTTCCTTATTCAGTCCTTTGTTGTACTTTTTTGTTAAGGTTTAATAAACCTTTTTAAAATTTTAAAAGTGAGGGTCATTTCTCACAAATTATCTCCTGTATTGTTTGTGAGAGCCTGTAGTTGGGCTAAGATAAGACTGAGAACAAATAGGAAGTCCGCAAAGAGAGAAGGAGGAAATACAGAGATGTCAACAGGTATACCCCCTGATAACCCACTGAGAAGAAAACCAACCTGGTAGAGATATGACCCCAACACCAAAAGTATGCAATATTATGTCATAAAATACACTAAGAAGGAGATTGCATATATGTACTAGCCATGGTGTGAGTCAAAAGAAAAGTAGATGCATCAAGTTTTAACTACTGTACACTCCACTCCATCCAAACAAAATCCTAGACTCCAGAAAAAAACCCACTAGCTTAGAGTGTACTTTGTTTTCCTCCTCTCTTTTACCACCTCCTGCCTTCTCGTCTCTTTCTCCGTGAATACTATTTTTCGATCTGTTCTTGTAGCATACTGTTGAGTAGTACTGGTAGGTCATTACTGCAGTCACTTTTATTTTAAACTCTACTTAGATTCTTTGTAAGGGGACAGAAAATTGGCAAAGCCTTGCTAAGCTTCTGCTCTTTCCTCCTCTCCCTGAAAAAGCTGAGTCTTACAGTACACTGTAATGCTCTGTTTCCCTTGGGCAGTTTAGTTTGTGTACATCATCTTAAAAATCTTACTGAGAAAATCCCTGAAATACAGTGTTAATTTTAATCCCTGAAATACAGTGTTAATTTGTTAACACTTTTCCTGAAATTGTTGTTTTCTAGTTGATTTTGATGTTGAAACCATTCATTGTAGCTGCTCTCCATACAAAGAAACCTTTAGACAGTTTTACTCTTACTGCCAGTAGAAGAGAATTTTCAGTAATTTCTGCAGTTTGTGGTGGTGGTCTTGGTATTTGTGTGCTTCACTAGTGTTCATCCGGCCACACTTCATGTGGAAATGGAATTCCCAAAAGACAAATATTTCAGGTATCTATATTTTATGTTCTTTTGTGTGTCAGAGCTCACGTGTTTTGTTACACTGCAAGGATGCAGATGCTCATGGAATCTCTGGCACTGCTGTAGAAAACTAAATATATACCTCGTAAAAGTGTACCTTGAGTCAGCACTAACAGCTGTACATCAGGAAGTGATTTTCTGTCAGACTGAACCAAACTTCTTTAGGAAACAGAAGACCTTACATTGATGAGAATTATTTATTAGAAATTACAGTTGTTTTCCACTCAAATTTCCATGCATAACATAGATACCTTTCCCTCTTTCAGTCCTAGATTAAATCTTGATAAAAAACTTTGTTTCAAAGTCACTGTCACCTCTGCACAGAGGCCTGAAGCTTTCCTTAATGTATCCCCAGAGGACTGTGAGCTACCCTCCACAGTAATAAAGGCCACAAATACCCCTCCTCAGTTAAGAAGTAAAAGGTGCCCCTTGACAAAACACAAGCTGCCAAGGCAGTGGAGTAAGGCTGTTGTTAGTTCCTACTCCAACATCCCATGATAATGTAAGGGGTGAGAAACACCATGTGTGCTATGCACTAGCAGTGATTCTCAATAAATCCTTCTAATCCTCTCCTTTGTGCTAGTCAAGGTCCTAGAGAAAACAAGACAGCAAAAAGTGCTCAGTTTTGCCCTTGTAGAGTGAGAGGCAAAAAGCAAGAATCCAGCATAGTCTCTTTTTGACCTTTCCTTTAAGACAGGCCTGTCTGTTCCCACCTCAAAGGCACAAAGGGTGCTCTTTAAACTGTGCCGCAATGTCCCACCCATACTCCCCTCTCCTGTCCCCATCCCCAGTATGACATGATCCCACGAGGAGAGACCCACAGGGGTGTCTGGGCCAGGAGAGCTCTGAGAGAGTGCTGTACACATGTGTGCCGATGTGTACGGCTCTGTGTGCACATGTGTTTTCTGGTGTGCCCAGATGTGAGTGTACATGTCTTGCTTTGCACAGTGTACATGTGTGTTAGTGTGCACAGCACTATTCACATAGATTTGCTGACATGTATATGTGATGTGTACACTGCTGTTTACATGTCTGTTAAATTACACACTCTCAGGTGTGAGTGGGTCTATGCACAGCTCCGTGCTTGTGAGTGCACAGAAGTTGTGCAAGTGTGAGCATGGCTTTGAGTGGGACATGCATATGACACTGCACACATTGGTGTACTCAAGCTCTATGTGCAAGCAGGTCTTGTGCCTGTAGGCATGTGTGCATTAGTAGGGACTGTACATAAATGATTGTCTGTGTAGCGCATGTGCTAGTGTGGCAGGCTAGGTGTACACAAGTGTGTGCTGCTAGCAAGTACCATAGTGCACAAGAGCTCTGTGCAGATGAGCAAGTACCTGTGTGTATGTGCACTAGCTGTGCACATGTTCCTGTGTGCACACACAGGCTGGGCACATCCAGGGACATAGCTCTAGATACACAGCTCTGTGCATTCGGCTGCTGTCCCACCTGGAAAAACAGATGTGTGTATATATATGTATTTGTGTGTGTGTCACTACCTAGCTCTGCTGGCTAGAGTGGCCCCTGGCTCTTTGTGTAAACTCTGTTCTTGTAAGGAGAAAAAAATTGCCTCTACATATAAGTTTGCAAAAAAGTTTATGTAAAGTCGTGTACAGTGATTTCCATCAAATTTAACAGTGTTTAAGTTTCCATTAAATTCCTATAAACAGGGGTATCTACAATCACTGTGATCCACTGCTGTTCTAACCCATGTTCCCTAAAAACTGCTGCCATCAAAACAGGATGCTAGGCCAAGTACTAAACCTCTCTGTGATTGTAATGCTTCCTAGGCTGCAGTTCCCTTGTGTGAACAGTAGTAACTACTTTAAGACTCAATTAAACATATGAGGCAGTGCTATGTGCATTGTCTTCAGTTTAACCCCTCAGTGGGGAGGTCCCTTTCAGGTACTGCTAACCACTGAATCAGCTGTGCAAACCGCAGAACAAGAGTGGACTCATGTCAACAGAATTAAAGGCCCAGTAAAAGAACCCAAAGAATAGACTATAACATCCAGACCGGGTGAGAGATAACCAAAGAAGCGCGAAGACATCCAAAAAGTAGAGTCAAGCTTCTACCAGCCAGCTTGAAGATTGTTTTAACTAACACTTTGAGTGGGGAGTTTGAACTGTATAGTTTACTGATGTAATTGTCCTGTTTAATAGATGGGAATTACAAGCATCTGTTGAGGGGAAGTACACAGGGAACCATAAGAGGTATTGGGACGGTTTCCTTAAGAACCAACAAGTAGAGTAAAACAAGAAATAGAGGGCATGACTGAGTTGGCCCCTGTGTTCGCCACCAAGAAGATTATAGCCCTGCTGCGAGTAGCAATCCCATAGGCATGGTAAGGTAGGGGCAAGAAAGCCATACCGGACTTCTATCATTCCTCAGTTATCTTTTAATACAACAGAGACTAGAAGGCAAGACTGAGTTGGCCTCTGTACTCACCACTAAGATACACCTGCTATGAGTAGCAAACCCCATAGGCACAGTAGATGGGAGTAAAA